GGAAGTAACCATTGCCTCCTTAAGCTTCTGAAAAGCTGACTCAGAGGCAGGAGACCATTTAAATCCCCCCTTCTTGAGCATATCAGTTAAGGGTTTACTGATAATGCCATACCCTTGGATAAACTTCCTATAATATCCAGTTAAGCCAAGAAAACCCCTCAACCCTTTGATAGTTGAGGGCTTGGGCCAGTCTAGCATGCATTGTATCTTACTGGGGTCTGTAGATACACCTTGAGCACTGATGATGTGCCCAAGGTACTCAATGCTATTCTGCCCAAATTGGCACTTAGATTTCTTAGCATACAACTGATGCTGCTCCAGTAGAGCCAAGGTGATGCTGAGATGCTCTAAATGCTCTTCATAAGTGGTACTGTAGACCAATATATCATCAAAAAAGACTAATATAAACTTTCTCAAATGCACAGAAAACACCTGGTTCATTAGTGACTGAAAGGTGGCAGGTGCATTACAAAGCCCAAAAGGCATAACCAGATATTCATAATGGCCTTGATGTGTTTTAAAGGCAGTCTTATAAATATCCTCCTCCTTCATCCTTATTTGAAAATATCCAAACCTCAAATCTAACTTAGTAAACCACTGAGCACCATATAGCTCATCTAAGAGTTCATCAATTACTAGGATGGGATAGTCATGTTTGGCAGTAAGAGTGTTGAGGTACCTGTAATCAACACACATCCTCCATGTTGATTCCTTCTTCTTGACAAGCAACACAGGAGAGGAAAATGGACTCTTGTTGTGTCTGATGATGCCCCCCTGTAATAACTCTTGAACAATGTTCTCAATTTCATTCTTGGAAGCATGAGAATATCTGTAGGGATACAGTTGTTTGGGGGTAGCTTGTGGTTTTCATACAATCTGGTGTTCCACCCCTCTTTTAGGTGGCAACCCTTGGGGTTCCTTGAAAACAACTGCATAACCGTCTATTAATTTTTGCACCCCATTAGGAATTCTTGGTTGATCAGCTTGACTAATGATAGTGTATAATTGATCCTTAGTGGCTGAAGAACCTATCCTTAACACCCCTTGTTTGTCAGATTCAGTAAATAGGGTGTGAACTGTGGGGCCATCCTTTGATACAATGATTATCCTATGGTCTCCCTTCTGAATCTTCACAAACCTCCTTTTATAGTCAAACTTGACTAGACTGCTTTCCCACAGCCAATCACAGCCAAGAACTATATGATACCCCCCCAATTTCAACAATCTTAGTGGGAACTGGAAAAATTCACCCTGCATCTGCCATTCAAAATCCATCACTACTCCATTACTGACTGTCTTGCCTCCATTAGCAACAGTCACCACCATAGGATTAGTTAAGCTAATATTGCAGTTTAGTTGTGCTGTCAATTCCTCACTAATAAAGCTGTCTGTACTCCCAGTATCTATTAAGATAATGAGAGCATTGTTACCCAAAGTCCCCTCCACCTTCAGAGTCTTAACTCCACTCCTACCAGCTATGGCATTCAAAGAGACTTCACTAATTTCAGATCCATTCCCAACCTCATCAATACTCAATCCTGCCAATGAGAGCAGATGAGCATGTTCCTCCTCTTCAGTCATCAACACATATAATTGGTTAAATTTGCACTTGTGCATATGGTGGTATTGCTCATCACAGTTAAAACACAAGCCCTTCTCTCTCTAGCTCTCATCTCAGGAAGTGTGAGATGCTTCCTGTTATTTGTACTGTTAGGTGGCTGTGGATTGTTGAATTTGACCAGGTTGTTTTGCCCAGCATGTGTTCCTTGCAGTAGCTTCCTTTGGGGGTTTTGATAAGGCACCATGGCCTTTACTGCAGCTCTTGGTTTCTTGGAAAATATTTCCAGGGTAGCATCTTGGTTTCTAGCCATTTCTAGAAGATGCTCAATAGATTTGTGTTCAAAACATGCAAGGAATGTTTGGTTCTCTTCTGGCAATCCACTAACAAACAAGGTTTTGAAAAATTCCTCATCATATAGCCTGTTATTGAACATCATCAAATAAGACCTCATCTCCTCAAACCTATCAATATATTCATTGATAGATCCAGTGACTTTATGTTTGCAAAACTCAGCTAGCACCTTACCCTCTCTGAGTTCTTCAAACCTAGCAGAGATAAGGGAAACTAACTGTTCCCAAGAGATGTACCTATTCCCTTGGGAGATCTGTCCATACCACACAACAGCTTTCCCATCAAAGTGCAAGGCAGCTATGGTCACTTTCTGGTTTTCAGGGATGTTTGTCACCAACTGGAAGTATCCTTGACACTTGAGTAGCCAAGCCCTTGGATTAGATCCATCAAACCTAGGAAATTCCAGCCTTGGATGGGGGTTGAAGTTGCTTCCAAATGGATCTGGTGGTCCAGTAACCTCCTGGATTCTGTGGTGCCTCTGTTCAAGAGCATGCCTCCCCACAGCTTCTGGTTGTGCATTCATGGTGTATGCAGCAGAGCCCCCTGAAGATCCTTCACCTAAAATAGATTTCTCTCTGTTATAAGTCTCCATTCTTTCCACAATTTTTGACATCTGTAACTGCAGTATTTCCATGTCCTTCTTGGCTTGAATCTGTCCTTCTTTGATTTGATCTTGCAGGTTCATCTCTACTGCCTCCCTTTGTGCTATGGCCTCGGCAAACTTCTGCTCCATTTGCTTTCTCTGAGCCTCCAGCTCCTTGAGACGAGTTCCTGCAGCCATTTGTTGCCCAGAATTTGTTTGATCAACCTTGCTCTTGGTACCAAATGTCAGATTCTGACTATTTGTATATATTTTTGTAATATAATAAACTGTAAAAGCTTGATAGAATATTAATGGTGGAACTTGGAGAAGAAGAAAGAATATTAGGGAGGGATAGAAGAGAGAGAGAGAGAGAGAGAGAGAGAGAGAGAGAGAGAGAGAGAGAGAGAGAGAGAGAGAGAGAGAGAGAGAATAGAAAAGACAAGAATTGAGAGAGAAAATAACTTTTCTGATTGATCTCCAAATCATGCTTTTCAGCTACATATAACGGTTTCTGGCAAAAGGCAAATATTCATTTTTAAACAAATAAAATTAAAACACGTGTCCCCCACACTAGTAGTTTCTAGCGGCATGTTTTGTCTTCACGCGCGCGAGTGTGTCAGCCTCTTCCTCCTCACGCGCTCCTTCCCTCTAAACGGTGTCGTTTTCCGCTCCAGCCAAAACGGTGTCGTCTTCTTCAGCACTAATTCCCTCATTTCCAAACGTTTGAATTCGTGTGCTCCTCTTTCCTTTTTTCCCCTATTTCTCTAATATCCCTTTCGGATCTTCCTTCTTTCGTTTCTTCTTGCATCCCCAGTCCTTCAATGCTATGACATATGGTTGTTGGGGTTAGAAGGGTTGAAGGAGAAGTTACGGGAATGACGAGAGGAGAGTTGTTGGGGGAGCCAAAGGGGCGCTGATTTGAGAGTGAGACTAAGGGGAAGGGACGCGCGGCCGAGATGGTGGTGGTGGTGGTGCGGCGGAGGAGCAGAGGCCATAGGTGGTGGCGCGGCGGCGGAGCAGAGGTGGTGGTGGTCAAATTCTCCTGCTCTTGTTCGGCTGCCAAGAGAATGAGGAAGAAGATGACCAATTTTTTTTTTCTTTTCTTTTGTTTTTTTTCTCTTTTGGTTTTTTTATGAACTTTGTGAGATGACGAAATTGCCCCTCTATTTTCACGTGTGAATTGGACCTGTACAATTCAGGGAAGAATGTGGCTAAAAATAGAAGTTTTAGTTGTCGGTGCAACAATTTATTAAGTTCGGGTATGCTCGTGCAACTTTTTTCCGTTCAGGAGATAAAGTGCAAAAACGTCCAAAGTTTAGGAGATTTTTCGCAGTTAACCCTTCACATAATCACATGTATGTATATATGACCGTGTCGTGCATAAAATAAATGTACAATGTAACCCGATAAAATTCACTTAGTGTAGATTAAAATTGACGAGAAAAAATTTGTTTTTGGTAAGAATAGACTAGAAGATAATAGTTTCTATTACTCTACATTTAACTATTAATCCTACTAAAAAAATTATAAGACCATAACCAATCCTCATTAGAAGAGTTGGTACCTAACCTTTACCAATAGAGTAAAGGTCTAGGGTTCAAGTTCCTCCTCGCCTAGTTCCCCTTGTATATATATATATATATATATATATATATATATATATATATATATATATATATATATATATATATATATATTATAAGAACATTAACTATATATATATATATATATATATATATATATATATATATATATATATATATATATATATATATATATATATATATATAAAACCGTGGGGTAAACTTCTTTGGGCGCCATCTATGATTCCAAAACACTCGTTTATCTTATGGATGGCAACCATGGATCGATTGGCCACAATGGACTGAGTGGAGAAACCGCTCACGTGAAGTCGTCAACTCCAAATGCATCTTATGTGGTGTGGAGAACGAGACTAAGAAGCACCTTTTTTTCGCATGCAGCATGTCTCGAGAGGTGTGGACCAACATACGGATATGGTTGGGTATCCGCCGAAGACCAACCACATTGGATGCCGCACTTAAATGACTCAAGAAGGACGTACGAGGGAAGTCGTACCGCAACAAGACGCAGCGATGTGCACTAGCAAGTCTCGTGTACCACATTTGGGAGGTCGGAACAAGTGGAAATTTGAGAAAATTGGAACTACTCCGAAGGACCTCACAAGGAAGATTCAGCTACATGTTTACTCGTCTATGTTCAGCCAGCACCCGGAGCTAGCGATTTCAAGGACGAACGGACAACCGAGCAGCCTTATGCACACATGAGGGCGTGATCTAGATGTTTCCCACTTTTATTTCTGCTTTTATGTTAGTTTATTTCTTTTTGCTTTCTGCATTAGGTTCTGCAATTTCCTCCGGTATACCCGTTGTAATTGTCTACGACTTTTTTTGATTTATAATATTTACATTTTAATAAAAAAAAAAGGTAAATGCAAATGAAATTAAATATTAAAAATAAATAAACATAGTCTAGACCAAGTAAATGTATTGTTTTTTATTTTATTTTTAGGAGACCAATTAAATAATACACTATATTCATTCATTAATGTTCATTAATGTACACAGCTTCATCAACAAAGAAAACACTACACCCAATTATGGATTCCATCAACGTTTTCAAAGGCTACGGCAAAGTAAGCCTCGAGCAACCAAACCCTCCACCACCAAACCACCTCCACCGCCGCCGCAGATTCATCGTCGCCTCGCTCGCCGTCTTCCTCACCCTCGCGATCGGTTCACTGATCGCCGTCCTCATCTGCGAGTCCGCCACCGAGTCAGACAAACCCGAGCCATCATCACAACTCGCCTCCAACTCGGCCGCGTCGCTCAAAATCGTGTGCGCGGTGACCCGCTACCCGGAGACCTGCTTCTCCGCCATCTCCCCACTCAACTCGCCGCCGTCGAACAGCCCCCTCCGCTTCTTCAACCTCTCCCTCCACGCCGGCGCGGCGCAGGTCTCCAGCCTCATAAGCCTGGCCAACGAGACGAAGGCGGAGGCGGCGGTGAAGGACTGCGCCGAGCTGTTCGACGACGCGGCGAGTCAACTCGCTAGATCGGCCGAGTCGATCAGCGTGGGCTCGTCCTCCTCCGGGGAGAAGGTGCTGACGGAGATGAGGATCAGCGACTTGCAGACGTGGATCAGCGCCGCGATGACAGATCAGGAGACGTGCGTGGATGGATTGGAGGAGATGGGATCGACGGCTGTGGATGAGTTTAAGGTGAGGGTGCAGAAATCCCAGGAGTACATGAGTAACAGCTTAGCAATTCTCAATAATATCCACAGCCTCTTCGCCAAGTTTGGCCTCACGATGCCCTGATGGAAATCAAAGAAATAATTAATTAATTGATCGAATTTTTTTTATTGTCGCTTTGCTTGTTGACTTTTTTGGCCAATTATTTTTTTTTTTTTTTAATGTAATGTTGCTGTGGATTTTGTGTGCATAAAAGTAGGCTTAATTCCACTTTGCACCCTTGAAATATACCATTTTGGCACTTTGCACCCTCGAAATAAATTAATAGCACTTTGCACCCTCGAAATACAATAAATCATGCATAATGCACCCCAAATGATTTTTTAAAGCTAAAAAATATAAATTTAATATTTGTAGTGATATTTTTTTAGGATGCCAAATGTCAAATATTTTTTTTATTCATCAATCATTTTGAAACTATAAAGTTCAAAAATAAAAATACATTCCATCAACATATTTAAAAATTATATTGTTTTATCAAAATAAAATATTTTACGAAAAAAAATCATTCAGCTATTATGTTATCAAGTTATCTGAAAATTATTTTTTCTTCCAAATATTTTCATCTAATATTTTACAAACAGTGACATAAAAGATCCACAATCGAATATTTTTTTTAAATAATCCGGTGTAATTTTTATTTTTTCGCACTTTGTCCGCTCGAAATTAGGTTTGAGGTTCAAGAAAACAACATTTTTTTTTTATTTTGTACCCCAAAAAGAAAAACACCAATGAAAAATAAAATTGCCTTTATTATTCAATTGAGGGTGCATTGTGAATGATTTATTGTGTTTTGAGGGTGCAAAGTGCTATTATTATTTTTCGAGGGTGCAAAGTGCCAAAATGGTATATTTCAAGGGTGCAAAGTGGAATTAAGCCATAAAAGTATTACACTGTTATAATATACATTTCAATTTGATGTTCATACGAATTTATTGGATGTATTATTTCATCTTTTACGTTCACATTCGGTTTCTCTATTTTTGCTTTGTAGATGTAAATTTGACATTTTTTAGACGGGTAATTGGCACTTTGCACCCTCGAATTATATGCCATTGACACTTTGCACCCTTAAATTAAAAAATTGGCAGAATGCACCCTTCAATTACAATTTCTTCGACACTTTGCACCATCTTTCACCTTTTTGGCTACAAACATGACTTGTTACCTGTTTGTGATTTTAAGAAAAGTAAATTTCTCTTCCTTTTTTTTCAGAAATTTAAAGAAAGGCAATGTATTGCTCGTTACTTTGGTTGTGATTGTCAATTGATGTTTATCTTTTCTGATTTCTCACATCATTATATGGTAATTCACTCTCAAATCTTTTTTTCTTTACAGGCGTAACTGATTGCAGCATTGCTATTGTCTGCCTAATGTTATTTTTTGCTTCTTTGCTTATTAAAAGCACATTGATTTTGCTTTCGAATGTTTTACAGGCAAATAGGCCCATGACAAAGGCACTTAATTAAAAGTGGGATATCCAACTTTTTTGTTTTTCAAACAAATCCAACTCATTCAAACTTATTTGCAAATAAGAAAAATCCTTTTATATATACCAAAATTACCCCCAATTCATTGAAACTCAATTCAACTCCAATTTCATGATTTACACCATAATTTAACCCAATTTCATCAATTAACCAATTTTAACCCCTAATTTCAATTTTGACCCGCCACCACCGGAGACCACCGGTCAGCCGCCGTTGACCGCCGGAGACCGCCGGGTCTCCGGCGTTGACTTTTTTTTTTTTTTTTAATTTTGTTTTTTCTTAAAAAAAATATCTTAATTAATATTACTGTCTTGGCTACTAAATTACTGTCTCCGACATTTAAACAACTGTTGGAGACAGTAATTTTAACTGTTAATTGACTTTTTTTTTTTCTTTAAAAATATTTTAATTAATATTACTGTTTTGGCTGCTAAATTACTGCATCGAGCAGTTATTTAACTGTCGGAGACAGTAATTTAACTGTTAATTGACTTTTTTTTTAATATTTTAATTAATATTACTGTAGCTAAATTATTGTCTCCAGCAGTTATTTAACTGTCGGAGACAGTAATTTAACTGTTGATTGACTTTTTTTTTTTCCTTAAAAAAAATATTTTTAATTAATATTACTGTCTTGGCTGTTTAAGTTACTGTCTTCAGCAGTTATTTAACTGTCGGAGACAGTAATTTAACTGTTAATTGACTTTTTTGTTTTTTGTTTTTTGAAATTTTTTTTTCTTAAAAAAATTATTTTAATAAATATTACTGTCTTGGCTGCTAAATTATTGTCTCCAACAGTAATTTAACTGCCTCAGACAGTAATATTAATAATATTATTGTTCGAGAAAATAATATTCATAATATTATTGTCCCAAAGAGTAATATTACTATCTGAGACAGTAATTTAGTAGCCAAGTGAGTAATATTAATTAAAATATTTTTTTCTAAGAAAAAAAAAGTCAATTAACAGTAGACTGGATCTTCAAAGAACATTTCTCCATATTACTTCCCCTCACTTTCTATTTGTGTTAGATCCAATAATTTTAAATATATATGTGCTTATAAGTCTATTTATATGTCAATCAATTCAGTCGACTGATTTATCTTAGTTGATTTGTGCTAAATGAACTAAGTTTTTAGTTTTTAGTTTTTAGTTTTTAGTTCGTTATGTTAAGTCAAGATATATAAGCCAAACCAATATACCTCAATAGATATAGTTAACTGATGTATGATCATGTCAAATTTTTGATCTGCTATGGATTGTGATTTGTATTGAGTGGGATCTACAGAAGAAAGGTAGAATCCGGACCTATACTGGGGTTAGCACTCTGACAATCAAGTCAATAATTTTTCTATGCAATGATTCTCTAGCAAGTTATTAAGGTTAGGGTTTTGTCTTTCGTACCTTGCATAGCTCGTGTTGTATAAGTATTTATAGGTGAAGGACTGGACATAAACTGTTTCTTCATTTTGGTTATACATGTCCAATCATCTTAGTACAATATCACCGGACGCCAAATTACCCTTCACTTATATTTACTACGTCCATTCGAATGAATAGTAACAATAGCTACACCTGCTAAAAGTAGCAAACATTCCTACATATGTCAGTGCATTGGACGTGCATCAAATGTTGTCACATGACCAGATGGCTGAACTCTCGTTAGTCTTTAGTCAAGCATTTGCTCGTATAAAAACCATCCAATATTTCTTTCGCTTGTGAAACTTCTCCTAGGCAATTTGGTTTGTGTGGAATATTAAAGGCGACCGTTTATGTGGGCCTTATCTCTCATGTGCTTAATCTTGGCCTGGATCAATATAGTCAATTGACTCGTGCGACTGATTAAACTTAGTCGATTTATGCTAAGACAACTAATTTTCTGTCCAAGTCATTAATAACCACTCTATAGAACTTTGGTAAATCTACATTTCTCCACAAACATATCAACAGTTTTGGCGGATTTCAATCTATAAATTGTTTCTCAATATTTGCAGAAAGACATACATACAAATATTCTTGTTTAACATGAAATCTTTTCAAGTTGTAAATGAAACTAGAAAATGTGTTCTTTTTAAGTTGTTAATAGTAAAAACCGAACTATTTGGGAAAAATCAAATCCCTTGTTGCGGCGATAACTGTTTTTTCTTCAAAGTACGTCGTCTACTTCAAAAGATCCACATGCGATACAACTACAAGTTTACACACATCAATGTTTAAATTTTGTGCATCAAACAAAATCGTAATTTACCTTGGGGCTTAGTCTGATAGATTAATCTTAACTTAATCATAATGGGTTGGATTATTCATCTATTAAAATCCGAATAAGAAATCGGGCCATGATCAATCCCAAATTTTGGTTTGAGAATTAAATAGTATATCTGCATTTTTTTCCCGACCTGTCTCGAAACCAAGATCAAATAGGTCATAAGTACAAAGGGCGTACCCTGGGGCCAGTCCACCCTTAGGGCATGTTTGATAGCCACTTAATGAGCTCTGGTTGAACACAAGGTCTTGTTCGGTCATACCTCATCCTATTAAGTGCATTTGGTTTAGATCTCTTAATAACACAGTTACCCACTTACCTATTCAGCTGCAAAAATAATGCCTATTCATTTAGAGAATACGCTGAATGCATTTGACAAATTAACCCTATAAAATAATTTAATATTCAAACAACTCTCCTCTCTTTCCTGGTAAATTTTGAAACTCACATGTTATTGGAAAGATGATGTGGCCACAGATTAATTAATATTTTTTGCTTTTGTATTTTGGATGAACTATTTTATGGTTTGGCCGCTATTTGTCTTTTACAATTAGTTCTTCAATTTGATGATTTTATTTATAATCTTATTATTCTTTTATTAATAATCAGGCTAGTAAATAAATTATTATTCTTTAGAATAAAATATCGTAAAACCCAATATTTAGATAGCATATTGTTATGACGGCCGTTATATGCAAGTCCATTTTTTTATTAGTTCAAAACCATATAAAGGAGTTTATTAGTTCAAGCCCGTAAATTAATCTAATTTTATTATATCAAGACCGAAGATGACAAATATACCCTTATCCACAAATAATACTCAAATACAAATAAATCTTATTTTTAATTCGTTCAAGACCAAAAAAAAACAAAAAACAAAAAAAAAAACAAAAAAAAAAATATCACGACGGCTAAATATTAATCTATGCTAAATATGTATGAACGAACATTAATCTATGCTTATTTCTTGTTGGGTTGCAATGATTTGGCCGATTTTGGAAAAAAAATTGAGATTGAAATTGGTTTTTTTTATTTTTTTCGTTGGTTTCCGAAATCGGTTTATCCAGACCGATTTTGTACACTAAAATCGGCGTCATAATACCGATTTTTGTTAACCAAATCGGCGACACAACGTTGACTTTACAAGTCAAAATCGGCGTTCTAATGTCGATTATTGAGTACAAAATCGGTTTTCGAATACCGATATTTTTTGAATTTTTTTTTAAATAATACATTATATATTTGGTTAATTGATATTTTTTAAATATTTGAAACGAAAATGTTTATCACCATTCGGTGGCGTCTACCACTCCTTTAACCCAATCGAGTAGAGCTTTCCGTATCTCAAATATTTATTCGTTAGATAATTCATTTGAATAATCCTCCATCAATTCCCTAGGTTGATGTACGAAAGTATGAGAAAACGGTCTTAAAAAAACACAGATAATAAAACCGGTATTTAAAAACTGAATTTTGTAGTACAAGTC